TGTAGTTGGTGACTAAAAGAGTATACAAATGTCTACACTCCATTGAAACACTGCGTGTTTTGAGTGTATTTGTTATGTTTGTTTGTGGGACTGTGGTAGATGCTGGAGGAGAATGCCCGGGTGGCTCTGATGATCGGAGAATCCCTACGAGATCAGACTATACAGATGGGACTGTATGAGATGGAGAATCTTCTGAACAGGTGTGTGTTCATACAAGTTGCGCTTGTGGCTGTCTGTCGGCCATTTTATTCCCAGTATGTATCGTACAGTCCTCACTCTCACCCCAACTCTTTCACTTCACAGGTTTCGGGAAGCTCTGGTGGAATTTGGGAAGGAGCATCGCAGAGATCCGAGCAACAACAAAAACAAGTTCTACCTCCACTATCTGTTGGCCTCCATCAGCAACTGCATCATCCTCAAGTGAGATAACGGCAGAGTGGTGTTGAATGGCCACTGAAAGCGTCAAAGCTTTATTACACAGATGTTGGGAATAGGTTAATATAATGTTGGCAAGCATCACACGCATTGTGGTAATGTCTGTGGTAACTTGCTCCTTAAAAAGAGACAATTTAGACTGTAAATAACAGAGAGCCAGAAAATCATACTGTGCCTCTCATAAATGAATGGGAGATTTCAGTGTATAGATTTTATTGCCAGTGGACATTAAGATGTAGAGAGTCAGTATATAATAGTGTATCCCCTCTCTCATTAAGTACCTCCAACATAACAGCTTAAATGGCCTGCCTGATCGAGATGGTGCTGTCTATGTAGTGGTTCTCACATTACAATTTTTAGCTGAATAAAAGCCAATAAAAAACAAACACCAGCCTAAATAGGATCCACTGTGTTCCCTGTGTCTGATGCAGGAAGTCCACAGAGAGCCTGCAGCAGCAGCAGTCATCTCGGTCGGCGGGACAGTTCTCTCGGACTCCTCCCAACCCTCTGGCAGCTCTGGACCGGGCAGTGAGACGGGCGTGTCGCCTGGTGATGGATAAGCTCCTGCTGGACCTTCAGCCTTTCCTCCCAGGCCTGCTGACCCGACCCTGGCTGGTCCAGGGAGACCCCACCCCTAAACTCTGCTGTGTCCTTGAGCGTCACCTGGAGCTGTACAGCCGTGTTCGGCCTCCCTGCCGACAGGTCACAGCTTTGCTCTGTTTCTGTCTGGAAGTTTAATTATTCTCTAACCCTAACCCTTTGTGTTGAATCTCTTTTCCATGCTTCTGAGCTTAGGTCATATCCACAGTCAAAATCTAATCAGTCAAACCTTGTTTTTGTGTGTACAGCGTCTGCAGGAGGAGGCCCAGTGGCTGATGGTGGTGGAGTACGTCCGGGCTCTGATGCAGAAGAGACTGGTGTGTCGCAGTGCAGAGGAGAGGAAGCAGCTGGCCCAGCAGATGATCCAGGATGACCAACAGTTTAGAGAAATCCTCCACTGCCTGGTGAGGAGGACCTGACACACAACACTAGGCAGTATCATGGTGTTCTACAGTCACATCAATCCTAAAAAACTGATTTAATGGCAAAATGATGACTACATTACACATTAGTATATACTAATAATGAATAACTTGATGCTACTGTAGTATCAGAAGTCATAGCAGTAGTAGTACTAACATCCAGTATTCCAGTGTCCCATGATGGTGTGAAAGCTGTTTGAACGGCTTTTCCATGAATAAGATACTGGGCTTGAACAGTGAATAATTAGAGATTTAACATCTGTGTCTGAATATCAGTCAAACTCATGTGTCTGCAGGAGGGGGAAGGGTCAGCACCAGAGGTGAATCCTTTGGCCTTACTACCTGTCCTGGCTGACTTCATCCGACTGAAAGACCCTGGCATGCTTACTCTGGAAGTCTCTGGACTCGCAGCCAAATACCCTGACATCAGGTAACCTGACCACCTGCTAATAGTAGAGTAGTTGTTAAATTACCACATCGCATTAATATCAAGCTTGATGCTTATAGTGAAATATGTGTCGGTCATAAAAAGAAAACGCTATACAAATATTTTGGGTTTTTTATGACCAGTCCAGGGATTAAACCTGGTACACTGGTATACCTGATACATGTCTTTCTGTACTCTCAGTGAAGAGCATGTGTCTGTGCTGCTGGACATCCGTGGTGATGTCTCTAGGGACATCAGAGGGGCTGTACTGGACTTGCTGGAGCAGAGCGCCCCCCCTCTGCCTGCAGGCTACCGGCCCATCTTCACCGACATCCTGGTGCCGCCCTCCACCATGGCTTTCTGTCTGCCTACTGCCAAGTGCGCATGACAGGGACTGAAACTCAGATGTTCACATTAAAAATCCAGATGGATCTGGTTCTCAGACCGTCAAGCCTGTCGCTACAATAAATTATGCGGGAGCAATCAGAAAGATGCTGGTGAATCTGTTCAAGTTCTGTTGACGGCTGGCCGGCCCGTGTTCAAGTCTGCCACTTGTTATTCATCCAGGGAGCAACAGCCTTGTTTGTTCCTCTGCACCATCCTGCTTCACACTCACAATGTTACACACATCATTCATACTGAGAACTGCCCAGTGCCATTATCACTTTCTCCTGTTGTTGTTCCTTAACAGTATCAGTTGAGTGAGGGGAGAGTGGCATAGTTTCATGTCCTTCACCTACAGTTTGCCAAGGATTTGGGCTGGTGACTTGCTGGTCAAGGTCTAACTTCAGCTGAAACTCATTTGTCTGGTAAAGCTCTGAATCTATGAGCCACAAATATGAATGGTAAATATATTCTACTCTCTCACAACTTATCATGTGCCCCAGCCATTTATGCTACAGATTTAACCAGAGTTGGACATTTAAACTGCAGTAAGCAGCTTTAAACAACTTAGCATGATGCTATTGCTAATAACTGATTTTCACTGACAGTATTTTCTACAGAACAAGTGGGTCTAGAGAAATATTCATGGGGTGTTCATTGGGTGACAGAAATACATGCTGATTTAATCACAAACATTCACACATATAAATATTTGCTTGGAAAAGCCCCCACGTGAAGATATCTGCACTTAAACACATTACATTGTTGTGGCACAGTCGTATTGACTGTCTTCAGACATTTTTTTTTTTCAGATCTTTATTCATTGAACCCATCATGAAGCCTATCACTTAGTCAAAATGTGGCCATAACAGATCATTATTGTTTTTTTTTTTTTTATTAATTTAAATAAATGACTTAAATTTGACAGCATACTGGGTGGCAGTGTTTATATCACCATCAGCAGAATTCCTCTTACCTTCATCATATTTAGGTGGCAGCAGACATTTTAAAGGCAAATAATATAAAACCTCAGCACACAAAACTGTTTACATGGCTACATTGCTACTGAAAAGTTCGGGGATATTTTGTGACACCCATCATATAACACAATATTATCTATTGGACATAATTAATCAGGAACTCGTGACACCTTTCTGAATCCTGACAAATAATTGTTAAACACTACCAGCCACAGACAAGCTTGTGAGATGTTCAATGTCTACTCTTATTTCTTAAAGTGTTCAGCTGCGAATTTTGAATTGGCACGTCAATTTGTGCATACAAAGCCATGTTTATGTCACGCAGAGCATAGAAGTCAGTGGTTAGAAATAAAACATAATTTCTGGTATGGTCAGTGAAAAGTCAAGCAATGGTCACAGCATGAAAAACAAATATCGGCAGTCCACAAAGCATCTGAATAGTTGCAGTATGTCACAGATATGTCAGTTACAACAAACGGTATATGACTTTTACAATAAGCATTGTTTTATTAAAGCATCTTCTCATTACAGTCTGGACTGTAGTCTAAACACGTTTTTTTAGCATGGCTCCTGGGCTGTGAACCTACCTGAGGAACTTCAGCTGCTAATTCAATACTTTAAAGTCACCTTTTCATTAACTTCTCTTCATCTATTTTGTCCACTTTTATCTTGCATTGTTGTTGATATTGGATGTTTTTAATCAGATTTTTTAAAATGTATTTATTGTATTTATGTATTATTTTTCAGCTATTTCCTTTTGAATGGTGTTTCCTGTTGCAATTTCCAAGGATATTTCCCTTGTTCTGGTTTAATGCCAACCTCTAAAGCACATTGTAAACTCACACATAGATGCTTAAATAAATGTTTTATAAAATAAACTTTCATTAGAAACAGTGGTATTTCATTGTAAAGACCTTGGTGTGGCAATTGATTCTAACCTTGCATTTAAAACAAATTAAAATGGTAACAAATACTTAGTTCAGGAAGCCAAACACCCATTACCATTGTTACTCCCTAAGAAATCTGAACTTTCTGAACTGGGACAATCATATTGAATCTACAGATGCTTGTCTTACTGTCTATAAGATTAAGCATAGTTTGGCCCCTCCCCCCTTAGTGCTGTTATAAAGCAGAAATCAACTGATGATAGACAGGTCTATGGCACAGGGGACTATATAATGCCTATGAGGAGTACTGCCTTCAGACAGTCAGCTTTTTCAATGAGAGCAGCTCACACATGGACAGTCTGCCAGCACTTATCAGTAACACATACTGTATCACTCATTTAAAATCAATTCATCTCAATGGTAATCAGGATTAAAAGACAATCAACTGTGTATCTTTACTCCATAACTTATTCAAATAACCTGAAGCCTGCTTTTTTATATGTTTTATGTATTGTTATCTTTGTTTTTGAGTAGTTTATGTCTTTTTATGAACTGTGCTTTGCAATATACACAGTATTGCTGTTCCTGTTTCATGTTTGTGTCTTTTGTGCTGAATATTACACATGCTCAGGGACTGTAGCTGAAAAGAAGCCAGGATGGCTAAACTGGCACATTTACAGATATGTATGTTAATGGACGCTGTGACTTTAAACGAACTAAATAAATGCATTAAAAGAATATTTTAAAAACTTGACAATGAGTGACACTTATATATTTTCAGATTAGCATAAAGTAAGCGAGGATGAATATAACGTCATAGTTTATGGAAAACTAAACCAAAATTCCAGTCACGTGACCCAGAGAGTTTGTGACGTCACTGGGAAAGATGGCCGCTCCCGTTGGGGTAACGCTGCTTCTGTAACACAATTTCCTATCAGGCTTGTGTTGAATATTCAGCTTGTATTTAGCGCCACGTCTTAGCGGAGCGTTGTAACAGTTGTGGCCGAGATGAAGACCTTCTGTGGGAGAGCCAACCCGACCACAGGAGCGTTAGACTGGGTGGAGGAGAGTGAGGAGTACGACTACCACCAGGAGATAGCCAGGTAGCTCCGAGCTAGCATCACAGCATGGACACAGGCTACACACGTTTTCATGTTGTCGGTGGACATTTGTAATAACACTGAAACTCATTACAACTTATTACTGACAGTTAGAAAATGTGCTTCCTGTTCGGCCGCCATGTTTACTGGAGGAAAGAACTGCGCTTATAAATCCATAAAAAGTCCTTTTCCACTGAGTGTTTGTCAGCTTTATTGTGACAGGGTTCAAACGCAGTACGGTACACTGTGTCCTAAAAGGAAACCCCAGCTCTCTTTTTGTTTTTTTATTCGTGACCATTTAGTGAACAGGACATTTTACAGTTAAAAAAGAAAGTTGCCAGTACTCTATGGTGAACAAAGTATTTCCTATATATTATACACTTAATGAAGAGAATTCAGTATTTTTTGTATTAGTTACACTAATTCAATAGAATTGAATACTGTAGAAAAGCAATTATACACAGTACATTATCAGTCAGTGTTCATACCACACTGTACCATGACACTGAACTACAGTGGTGACAACAATGTGAACCAATCACAATGTAGAGATCCTTCATTATTAGGACTGTTAGGAAATGTAAGTCTTATTTACCCTTTGTTAAAAAAGAATGAAAGAATCACCACATTCCTATGGGAGGTAGGCGGGCTGTGGGCTGGTTAATGAATGACATTAATGACAAAAAGTTAGCTGCAAGTTACTCAAACAAATGCATCAGTCACACAAACACTGATCTATGTGAATCTGTTGATCAGTTGAACATGTTTGTCTTTCAGGTCCTGTTATGCAGACATGCTGCATGACCATGACAGGGTGAGTGCTGACATCGACCTCTACTGAAACAATTCAGAAACGGTCTGAGAAGACCCACACTAGTTTCTCTGGTGGAAGTATTTGTCTGATCAAATTTTTTAGTCATCATCTATATGTGACTGTTGCATGCCAGGGGGGCTTCTGTATATGATTGTTGTTTTGTGTGTGTGATCTTTGACAGGGTATCAAAACCAGACTCTTTCCAGGTCAAAACAAAAGGCTATATGCCTCTGATAATAATGATTACATTAAAAAACACATTGTGAAACCGGCAAGTGTACATACTGTCGATATGCAATTCATACTCTATACTATCCATTAAAGCAGCTACAAGGAATTTCCATTTTGTCTTGATTCTGGTGGACAAAAGTGGTAATGTTTCCCAACGCATTGTTTCATTGATTTAATGGGGAATCTGACCCGGTGGCAGGCATTAAGAATAACTATTGTGTGTTCTTGCTGGTGGTCTTGTTTGTTTATGTAGGTCATGTAGAGGCATTAGTATTAACTCTTTCATAACCAATTCAAAACTCCTTGTAGTAAATTTGATGATGAGGCACCAAACTGACTTTATTGAATCTTGTTCAGCACTGACACAGCTGATGTACTTTATGCTTCCAGAATGTGAAGTACTACCAGGGAATCCGGGCAGCTGTAGCCAGAGTGAAGGCCCGTGGGGAGAAGGTCATCATCCTGGACATTGGGACAGGAACTGGCCTACTGTCCATGATGGCTGTCACTGCTGGAGCTGACTTCTGCTATGCTGTGGAGGTAGAGATGCACTTCTATATATAATATTATCATTTACATAAGGTATAATACCTGACGAGGTGTCCATTATCAGGAATTAATGGATAACGGGAAGTCCATTCATTCCTGATAATGGACACCTCAGAGAGCATTATCCTGCTTATACCATGGACACTTGCCAAAGGAAAAAAACAAGACCATTCATTTATATTTTAATGTGTTTTGCAATCAAAATCTTAAGTTTTTAAAGTAAAGTTTTTACAAGCGATAACTCTGTTTCCCTGGTAACAACTGAGGGGTTGACTAATACCTGGAACATCAAACCATCATATAAGGTTCTTATGCAATGGACTCCAGTAAATAGGACGAACCTTAGATACGACATACAAGATATTTCTAGTTCACTCGAGCCAGAGAGCTAACATTATGCTAACAAGATTCAAAGACAATAACACTGTGTACAGTCGACAAAGGGTAAATATGATTCGGCAGTATGTTGCCATGTCACTGTCCCAAAGTCCATATCAAGATTTTCAGGATTAAATGAAATGGTTAAAGTAGAATTTATCCATGATTTGAGTTAACAGAAAAACACCCTGACCACTCTAAAAAAAAAAAAAAGTAGTTTGGGACTTCCTTGGTGCTGTGGATACGGCGTCTGGTTCAGAAGCTATAGGTATTTTTGTCCCACACTGTAAACACAGATATACATTGTTGTTGACAGTCTGGATCTGTGTCCTAATTACATACTGTACAAGGATTCCACCTGTCATTTTAGTGTGTAGCATGCTCACACTGGAAAAATAACAAAATGAGGCTCTTTGAAATTTTAGAATGTTCGCTAAATTCACTTTTTGCTTTTTGACTGTGACATGGCTGGACAGAGCTGCATGTATTTTACTCAAATGTCGAGTCTGTCCATCTACTTGTGGCTATTTGATTAATCAACTAATCATTTAAGTGCTAACAGGCTTTATTGTTGTAGGGCTTCAGGTTTGTCTCCTGTCACTAATTTACCCTAACACCCGTCAGTCTCTAGCCCAACAAGTGATGCAGCTGCTGCCGTCGTCTCTGCTTCCTTTGTGTTCTGCAGGTTTTTAAGCCCATGGCAGAGGCAGCGCAGTGCATCGTGGAGAAGAACGGCTTCTCCGAGAAGATCAAGATTATTAACAAACACTCCACTGATGTCACTGTGGGGCCAGGTCAGGGAGAAACACACAAAAAAAAACACACACACACACACACACACACACACAGTGGCACTGTATGAATATTAATGTCCTTCAGGCTAAGTTCACACTTGCTGCACAATAAGTCCAAATCAGATTTTCAGATCAGAGTTTTTCCTGACAGTGTGAACATCACAAATCCCATGGAATCTGGTCTTTTTAATTGTGTGTCCTGAGGGAGGTCTGCATAAAGGGCATGAAGTCTGTTGGAATGTCTGTTGATGTGCTGTGTTTGTAATTGAATACAGATGGAGATATGCAAACGAAGGCCAACATTCTGATCACAGAACTGTTTGATACAGAACTGATAGGTGAAGGAGCCCTGCCCAGCTATGAACATGCTCACCAAAATCTGGTCCAGGTGTGTGTTTGTGTGTGTGTGTGTAGTTGTATTAAAGTGTTTGCATGAAGTTTTTAATACTAGAAAAGTCTGATAAATACAGACAGTGTGGATAAAATGCATAATCCTAGCTGGTGGTCCAATTCATCTCCTCTTGTCCCTCCACCCTGTAGGACGGTTGTGAGGCGGTCCCTCACCGGGCCACTGTTTACGCCCAGCTGGTGGAGTCGGAGTTGCTGTGGAGCTGGGCTCAGCTGCAGCCGGTAGAGGTGGAGGGGGCTCGTCTGGTCCCGCCGCCCGCCGTGAGCCGCTGTGCCGGAGCTCATTCAGTGTGTGACATCCAGCTGAGCCAGGTGTCTCCTCGCAGCTTCACCCCACTGGGTCCTTTGTGCACCATGTTCAGGTATGGAAGTGAGAAACACGTTTCTCACCCTTTATTGTGTTCTCTCAACGTCATTGTGAACATTTCCCCCTGCACTCCACCCTCCCCCTCTCAGTGTGGATTTCAGTAAGCCAGTGAGCAGCGCGTTCCAGTCCCACTCCTCCCAGTTTGCAGCTGAGTCTGGCGGGCGGGCCCAGGTCATCCTGTCCTGGTGGGACCTCGACATGGACCCCAGTGGAAGCATTGTGTGCACCATGGCTCCCAGCTGGACATACCCACAGCCAAAGAGGGCTCCGGTGAGTTATTGGACATGATGTTATGATGTTGTGAGCCATGCTCCCATCACCCCCTGCTGATCACTGTGCTGCGTTTCAGTGGCGGGACCACTGGATGCAGAGTGTGTACTTCCTGCCTGTGGAGACCAGGGTGACAGAAGGACAGCAGCTGAGCCTGACTGTCTGCCATGATGACTACAGCCTGTGGTACAGCCTGCAGTCTCACAGGTAACAGCTCAGACACAGCACACTGGATATGATATAGCCTAAAGATCCATTTAGTAGCTGTTCTGGAGCTTTTAGTTAGATCACACAGTCTTCCTCAAATGGAGTTTCTACACATCAGAGAATTGTTTTTATTTATTTATCTGAGCTATGGTCAATAACCATTGTGTAAAACAAAATGATAAAATAATATGACAGATATAAAATGGAAAGTAGGATGTCAAATATAGACATCATTTTTAAAATCAAATAAATAATCTTCAAAATGTTCAATAAAGCTTACCAGATAAAAACCAGTATGTATAGTATAATGCAGGGATCAGACTGTATGATATCAGCCCAATAATGGCATGAACTGACAGAGGCTGGTCAGGTCCAACACGTGGTGTCCATGTCATGACAAATATTTATGCCTGTTATAATCGCCCAGTGACCATCTCAAGAGAGAAACATCTTGTGTTCCTGATCCTGGCAAATTTTACTTAAAATAGGGTTAATACATAAAAATATGTTATTAAAAAACAAGGGAAGGGTAATCTGAGTAGAAATATTTTGAAGCTGAATGAATATCAACTATAAATACCACAAGTAGAGTTAGTTCTGGTGCCACGCTCTAAATGTTCTGTATGTTGATGTTCTCAGTAAACAGGACCCACAGACTGACGCTCCTCCCTCTCGGCCGTGCTGTACCTGCCAGGCTCACCTGGTTTGGACCCGGCCGCGGTTTGGCGAACTCAACGACCGGCGGCGTACAGAGAGCTACGTCAGCGCGCTGCGCAGTGTGAGTGGTGGCCTACCAGAGTCCCAGCTGTCAGTGAATGAATGGATATGACTGTTCTCTGATTGCCCGCTGTGTTAACTCCAGGTTCTCAGGGAGGACAGTGTGTGTCTTGGCGTCAGTGATGGAAGTCTGCTTCCTGTTTTTGCTCACGTGCTTGGAGCCAAAAAGGTACTCCGGTTAGACCATGTGGGCCCGTACTGTAGCTTTACAAACCAAATACCATCAGACTCTGATATTGTCTTTTTATTCTCTCTAGGTCTACGGTTTGGAAAACTCCAGAATGTCCAAACAGGTTATTGAACAGGTAAACAAGAACTTTGAGAACTGTCAGATGATCTTTGATCATTTGTACACTTCTAGGTGTTTCAACACAATAACACAGTGCTGATGCTAGACATTCTTCTCTGCAGGTGTTGGAAGCCAACTCGATGAAAGGAGGTGTGGAGCTGCTGGAGATCAGGCCTGAGCAGCTGACCAGTAATGATGTAGGAGCTGAACAGGTACCTTTGGACCAATCCTTCAGTGACGTGCATTGCCGTCTGCCTTTATAGACCTTTTTCACAGCAGCAATTTTGACATGAAATAGTAGGGTAAACACAAGTGTTACCAATGGTACTGAGTAAGGTTCCGTTCCATTCAGTGCAAACAGAGTATTGTGCATGTTGGCTCACTTGAAAGGCTCTGCTACACTAAGTGGAACGGAACCTTAATTAGTATCCTTGGTAAAACCTGAGTCTATTTCATGTCAAAATGTGAAAAAGGTCTGTTGGTATTAACATTGGTTTGTTAAACAGAAACTACTGTAACAATCCAAAAAGTTTAAGGTGAATTTGAAATACTTGACAAAATTACCACATCATCAATTTATGCAAACATTGCTAAAAGGTGGCTCAGTGGTAAGCACTAATTCTCGAGTCAGTGCCCTACATTTGTCTGTAACACAGTAATGTAATACATTAATGTTCCTAAATTCAGTAATCACATCATAGTTACTGAATGTTTCACTACAATATCCAAGAAATGTATCAGAGCGACGCCGTGGAGAGGCTGTTTAACCTAGTCGGTCTTGTGCTGACTCTGACGAGGAACAGGTTGTCTGACAAACGATTCGAGAGACTCCTCCTCGTGAGGTAGAACCACTGCTTTAGTGATAAACCCATCAGATAAACTGCACTAGTCTACTATTAAGACATAGTTTGCTGAGAGAGCAACTGGAGTGAGTTTGTTTGAGTGTGTTTGGCTCGTTAAATGCAGTTTATATTGCGTGATCTCAAGCAATGTTGCGAAGTAAACCAAACGTTTAAACCCATCTGATGTTTGAAGCCAGTAATCCCGCCCACATGTGTTTTGTGCTATTTGTTAATCCAACTAAAGGTCAGAACTGTGTATCTCTGCAGTGAGTGTAAAGTATCTCTTCTTCCAGATCTCAGTCCTGATGGGTGAACCGTACTTCAGCACCAGCCTCTTACCCTGGCACTCCCTGTTCTTCTGGTACTGTCGGACCACCCTGGCAGGCCTTCTCCGGCCCAACGCCACCATCCTGCCCTGCTCCGCCACACTTCACATGATGGCTGTAGAGTTCCAGGTGAGACACATGGGAATATTTTTCATGCATTTAAATTACTTCTAACATTTAAAAGAAGGGACAACCATTGTTGCTTTTTGTATGTCTGTTTTGCCTCATTCAGGATGTCCTTGACTTTGTATAGGAAACTGAAGTTCTCTATTAAAGGCTATAATATTTTTTTAATGGTTTAATGCAAAGTTCTAATTGGCTAGATTTTCATTTTATAGAAATAAAATGTAATAATAAATATTCAAGTTTAAATTTGTCTCTATGATGTCTGTTAGGATTTGTGGAGGATACGAGCACCGTGTGGAACATGTGAGGGCTTTGACGTCACACCCATGGACGAAATGGTCCAGGTAAGATTTTCATGCATATCATTTACGTGTCATGTTGCATTATATTTATCTTAGCATTCTGTTTTTACTTTTAGAGTAACCTCCTGACCAGAAAACAGAATCCATAACAGCAGATGAACACCTGGATAAATTGTTTGATGGTTTGAGTTTGACTTTCCCCTGTGGTTCCAAAATCAGATCTCAGAATCAATCCATCTGTCCCTACAGCAATCTCTGGATTTCCGCGAGTCCCGTGAGGCGGAGCCCCATCCTCTCTGGGAGTACCCGTGCCGTGCTCTGACCCAGTCCTCAGCCGTCATGACCTTTGACTTCACACAGCGCGTCCCTCAGGAGTCAATCAGCAGTCAGGGCTCACTGCCTCTCATAAGGTACTGAGTTGTCCTCGGTCAGTACGACCAACTTAGAAATAAGATAAAAACTGTTTTGTTTTTTTTCTAAGTCACTGTTTGTCAAACTTTACAGCGCTTATCACATCAGAAAATATTAAGCTCTCCAAGTAACCACCATTATGAGCGATGTTAAAATAGACAGTAGCGTAGACGCAGGAGGCAGGTTTATTCCTAATAAGATGATTTATTCTTGACTGTTGTTAAATCTGAGTGGAACCGCTTCAAGAACCAGAGGAAAGGCTTCCTGGTTCACACTTCTCTTCCTTATAGTTCCCATTTGGAGCCACGATTTTGCAAAAGTGAATCTGAACAGCTAGACCTGATGTCCCCTGCAATGTGCTATTCACATATTCTCTTTACAGAGTTGTTAATAGTCTGTTTAAATGTCTGTTACAGGACTGGTCGTTGCCACGGTGTCGTGTTGTGGATGGAGTATCATCTGACCGATGACATTTCTGTCAGTGCAGGTCTGATTGGACCAATCAGTGAGCAGGTATGACAGCCTTCACCGGTCATCTTTGTACCCTCAGATTTTCCCGCTTGCTGTATTTTTTTGTTGTCTGCTGCACTCATCTTACTGCAGCTAATGATGTTGATGATGTAATGATGTTTGAAGCGTAACGCGATCGCCAGAAGTAAAAATGGAATGTAATTAAGATCTACAAGCTGTAAAGTTTGAGTTAGAATAGTTTGCGAGTATAAACACAACGAGGCTGTAAAGGCAGACTAGTGAGTAGATAAGCCTCTGTGTGCGACGTGCTGATGTTTAATGTCAACGTCAGCCTCTGTAGTCTCATTTAGCCACTTCCAGCAACCGCCTTAAGGGGTGGGGTATTTACTGATGTTTCTATGTCACAGAGCAAAACGTGGAAACCACAGACCTTATTTCAGGCATTTAACCAAAAACCCATTCAGAAAAACCCATTGACTTTAAAGAGAAGGAATTTAAATCTAGGTTCTAACATGCTAACTCAGTTCTGGGTTTTAGGACTCATTCCTGCAGCAGTCTATTAGGGCCACAACTTTTGAATTAGTTGTCACTAAACCCAAACAGATCCAAAAACAGTATCAGACAGGATGAGTTGGTAGCAGCTGCATGAAGTTCAGTGACGTGCACAGTTAGGAGTGTTGGTGTTGGATTGTCTGACAGATTCACGGTGCTTTCCTTGCAGGGCGAGTGCGAGTGGAGTCGACACAGGAAACAGGGAGTGTATTTCCTCAGGTCGCCGTGGGAGAGCTCAGGCGATGGCAGAGCCGCTGTGTCTTACAGCCTCACCTTTGAACCCAGTTTAGGAGACATAAAGATGGACTTCAGCGTCCAGTCTCAGTGATGTGGAGCATCTGGCTGAAGAAGTGACTCTTTAAAGACTTTACCTCACATAACCGTTTGTGTTTTGGATGCATCTTTAACAACTGTGGTTTATTGTTCTGACTGAAGCTGCCATCACTCAATATCTGACCATTATTATCCCCAACACTGAGCGGAAGTCAGTGTTTTAAGACTGTGGAACATAAAAACTGCCCACCACATCCCTGTTGTTGTAATGTTACTAATAATATTCTTAATAATTCATATTAATGACTACCCATAAGTAACTGCTGCAGTATTTCACTATTTTACAATAAATAAACACTGAAATCCATCACAGAGGTCACTGAACCGGCGGGTGGATATTCCAGGGAGGCAGCCGTAACACACTGCTCACAGTTGCTGTGTGTCCAGCCAGTTGGGGATGCAAAATGGTATGGGTTAAAGTAACCTATTAAGGTCACCAGTTTATATTTTACCACAGCAACTTTTAAGAATTACTGGTTCACCCATCTAGCAAATCCAAACGTGTTATAGGAATGTTTTATAAAGTTTTCTATTGGCTGCCCAGTGTTTGGTACCTCTCTTGTCAAGTTCTCTTGTGTTTGAAGAACAGACTGCAGGGACATCGCTGCTCAAAATGCTTTTACTCTAACATTATTTCAAAGACTGTTACTGCCAGACACTGTATGTTCACTGAGAACCACTCATTGTCATCTGGAGTCCCAATAGTGATGAAGTAATGTGCTGATATGTACTGTATGAGATTGTACCATCAGACGACTATTAGCCACACTCACACTGAGGGAACAGAAGTGTGGCTCTAGAGTGTTGTATTAAAATGAAGAAAAGACAACAACTCATCTTACTGCCAAACTGTTTGCCTTTATATACATAATTAAGCTTGAACTGGACAGTTTTTATACTGTTTGTATGGACCTCTGAATGCTCAAATTGTACTGGTAAACATTCTGTAGTTTCTGCTTTATATTGTAACTGTCAGTGGTTAGATGTAAATAGAACTTCAAATGAAACGATGAAATGCATTTCAGTGCTTTTAAATACTTGCTAGAAGCTTTAGAGGAGATTCTCACGCCATCATTTGCATAATTAACAGCAGCAGGAGGAAAACTGCAATGACGGTGCACTTTTTTCATTCAAGTCTCACTCTGGCTCATTGTCGTAGCTGCATTGGCAAAATCTTAAACTGAACTTAAGTGAACATGACTATTGCTGGTACATGAAGGCATCACAATCAGAACATCAGAAACAAGACTGTGTGTTGTAGATTCAATCGCACAGATCCCCGTCACATCTTCAGTGAGCAGCCTTCCATTCAGTGTCTGCAGAGAGGAGTTGTGACTCAGGGTGGATGGAGGGGAAAAAAAGGAATGTAATGTTTCAATCAGGAGCAGAACTGTGACATTTCAAGCGTCTGTCAGGGTCTTGTTGTCCAGCACAATCTTCTCTCCTGGTTTGAACGCCGGCATCCCCGCGTACGGACAGCTGGCACATCGGAACGCGTCACCAAGGTAACACTGCCACAGAAAGAAATGAAGTATGATAGAAAACTGCTCAAACATGGTGAGAATTTGAAATGGAGCAATCTAAATACATATACTCACACTTCCACAGGCAGATTTTGGTAGGTTAGTCTTTTGTTTTCCTTTGCTCTCCTGCTCCAGCTCTTCAGCAAGACCACATGAGCTACACAAACATGCAACATATTGCATCATATAGTGTTCAAATGCTTTCCAACGCACAGATAAATGTACAATAATATTTTTGAAAGAACTCACCAGTTCTTGCAGGCTTTCTTCTTCTTGCCGGCTCCCTCTCCACAGCTGGGTGCTTTAAGAGAAGCTGGGTCTGGCTTCTTCAAGTCATCTTCATCCAGCAGAGCATCAGAGTCCACCAGATCCTAGAGAGACGGAACCGGACAGACAATAGAGGACTCAGTAAATGCAGGGAGTACAGTATACAGAAAGACATGTGCATGACAGATACGCTTCTTTAGGAAATTCATTAAGAGTGGCTCTTAACATGCATAACAATATGAGGTTGTTACTGATCAAAACTATTTATTTATTGGTTCTACATTAGAACAAAGATAACAACATCCAGAACTCACCACATCATCATCATCCATGTCATTGACTGACAGCGTCCACATTTTGACAGTCTTGGGATCCAGAGCAGGTTTCTCTGCTGAAACCACAGATGTTTGCTTCACATCAACAGATGATACAACGTCACAGCAAACTGACACTGAGTAACATCAGTAAATACAAATACTCAACAAAATGTATTTTAGCCACCTAAAAAAAATCAGTTATCCTCAGTTAAGTATAAAGTATATTTGCAATATGTTCACAGTTTTACTTTACAGGAGCCTTAGATTGCTCTCTCCAAATCCACCACACTCCTCACACAGTCACACAATTTAACCGACCGAGGCAACAGTGGACCAGCAACTCCTGTGTTCAGCAAGGTGAAATTGCTGTTTTTGTTAATGGAGTCTGGTGGTTTTGAAGAGATCATCAATGGATATAACGGCTTCAGTTTCCTGTGGGAAAGCGCTGTGTGATGGCAAGTGGTGAAATTATTTTAAATATAGAGTACACTTACTCTGATAGTGATGTTTTTAAGATAGTACCTCATAGAACCCCACTTCAAAAAATCCCTTTAAGGCCAGTTGCACAAAGATTAAAATGATGACCATAAACACCAGAAAGCAGAACTTATAACATTGTTTTAGATGCAAATTTGTATGAAAATATGAGAAGAAGAAAAAAGTCTCAACTCTTACGCCAGGGTTGCTGAACTGTCCTCAGAGGAGCCCCATTGGGTCAGTCAGAGTCATTTTGACCAATATGAGACATATTATAGTTTTGTCAAATTTTGACCAGTGGGTTCAGAGGCAGGCGCAGGTGACAGATGAAGAAAAACAAGAAAACAGGCCTTATAAACCTACCTGGCTTGGGCGTCTTTTTCCCAAATGACAGTTTAATCTGGCTGGATGATCCCACCTCAAAGTTGGGTTTGGAGGCAGATATGCGGACTCTAGACAGAGTGTTTCCCTGGTAACCAGTGGCGGTTCTGAGGGAGCTCAACGCCTCAGGACTGAGTTCTGCTTTACTGACCTGGACAGGGAGGAAGCACAAGGGTCGACTGATGTCAGATTTACTTGTGTTCTCATGTCATCTGTACATTGTGGTTTGGTAAGTGCAACTCCTCCCTCTCCTGTCCAGTGTACATTAATGACCACACGTGTGAACCCACTCACTCACCTCAGTCACTGACATGAAGCCCGACAACTTCAGAGCTGACATCAGCTTCTCAGCAGTCCTCACATTCTGTGCGTCAGCTCCTGGAACACAGTCAGAGCAATGCCAAGTTTATTTATTCTCATTAAGTTTTGAGGGGATTAAACCTGTGTTAATCAGAATGTTGTGTACTTTTCCATTTTTAATGACATGATGTGAGTCCACCTTGGAAAAATCCTTCCTCTTATGACTTTTTCCAACATAAAGGTGCAAATCATTGTATTTTCCTCATCATAAAGGAATTTAGAACAACACTTTCTTTCTCACCTGTAACTGCTTCATCCAGGACTAGCTTCCCGCCAGGTTTGAGCACTCTGGCTAACTCTGCTAGAGTCTCGGAGCTGTGGACGGAGGAGCTGTCAGCCAGAAGGCAAGAGAGCACACAGTCAAAGGTGGATGCTGAATGGGAGGCTGAGGAGAGGAGAGGAGAGGAGAGGATCATTTTACTCCTGACTTTTGATTCAATTGTCACACTCCATGCTGAAACCACTCAAGCAACTGTTTTGGAGTTATTTTGACTAAAGAGTCACTCACACAGCGATAATCTCTCCATGTTCTCCACGGACACTTTGCCGTCTGCACCCACAATGGCACCCAGTTCCTCTGCACACTGTTTCAGGGCTGCTGGTGCTGAAGGCTGAGCCCAAACCAACAGCACCTTGTCTCCCGCTTTAACGCCAAGGTCTGCCATGACTTCCTGGAGAAAAGTCCACATTTATAGAAAGAAATCAGAAATACTTTATGGATCCCAGGGGGAAACTGGTTGTTGGTTGCTCAAGTTTTTTTTAAAAAATGTGTACATTACATTACAACAACAACAACATATAGAAAGTCTTATTGAAAAGTTGTTATAATTAAAGAAAAAACGACCACTCTGTCTGTGGATCATCTTAAAGTGAAGACACTGGAGATGATCCAGTCAGACAGTACCGTTGTACCACCACGACCACATTATCGGTTAGAACAAACATAATAAGCTCTACTAACACATCCATGATTATATTCAGCCACGACTCAAAACGTTAAAACCAGAAGTCAGTCCAATGAGTGAAATGATATGAGTCAGGGATTATCGTTGTTATAAGAGCAGCTAGCCGTCAGTAGCTAGCCCATTGTAACAATGACTAGTGTTTTATTTGAATGGTGTTGACATGTGGAAACTGTGGACTGGTCTGGAAGCTTCTCTGGAGTCCTATTAGTCCTTTCTATAACGTCAATACATGGCCAAGAAACGTGGTTATATATTTTAGCTTTAAGCCTTAAAATGTAAAAGTGAATTAACCCGAACTACTGAGCGGGTCAGTTGTTTGTTGACACGGGTGTAAAGCAAAGGTTAGCTAGCTGCACGTACAGCGAACAGCGTGACGCAGAAGACGCCGGTGTTTATTAGGTTCATAAGGCCGTTGTTGAGGCTGACAGAGTCTGGTTCATGGCTACCAGCGAACACAAGTATACTCACAGTTTTGTATGATTGTTCTTAATATCTCCAGTGGTTAAATTACTGAAATAAAAGGACAGTTCAATCGAATGTACTCACTTACTCAGCCGATATCTTGACGGAAGTTTCACTGTCAAGTTACCCAAAGTAAGAAAAGTGTGTTCCGGTTAGAAATGTCAAAATAAAATAATCGTTAATGTGTTGTAACCGTAACGCTTACGTTTTGGCCATTAAAAGTACCATGTAGAAGTGCAGTTGGCTATATATTTTAGGGATAAAAAAAAAAGTAATTCTTACACAAAATGCATTTTGTGTTGCTTTTGCCCATTTCTCCAATAGAAATGAAGTGAGTGTGTTATATTTTGAAAACAGCATCATTCTTATTCTTGCTAGCTTGATGAAGCGTGTGGTTCGAGTCGCGCTGAAGTGACGCCGCTGGGTGTAAAAAGACAGGGCAGCGGAATATGGCGGCGCTGCTGAGAGGTCTGCGAGCTGGAAGGACACTGCGGGGGCTGGGCAGCGGTAAGACAGGACTCCGGTGGTGGTGGTGTTGTTGCAGTCTCATGTTAATAATGGACAGCCTGGGAGATTATCCCTGTAATGTCTTCCCGTTATTTGTTGCATGAAGTGGAAAGGAGCCAGTGGCGACGTTAGCTGTCCATGCCAAAGTCACTTGTGGCAGAAGGTGATCATGGAGGACAGAATTGGAGAACATTATGTTGCCTGTGGCTTTACAGAACAAGTGAGGCGGGTAATTGTTGGTTGACATGGTGCTACGGGGGTGTAGACCTCAGTAGTTAATGGTAAACAAGGCCCTGCAAACGGGCGGCGTCCTCTCTATGGTTATGCAAGCTGTCACACTATGTTTCTCCTATATTGGCTATATTTAGCGTTGACTTCCATGTGTTGTTGTTGTTGGCACTGGATCATAAGGAGATACTCTTTAAGCTAGGACAGTAAAAACCCGCCATACATCATTTGTGTCTTAAGGATTATGTCCCCACACAGTTCTACCAACTCCATAGTCATTCCAATTATCGCACTTTTCCCTACAATGCATAATCTCATCCTGCAAGTTGTTCAACTTTGGTATTTGCATATTCATTTAGTTTGCAGTGGAAGATTATCGACAGTTTAATCGATAATGAGAATAGTTGCTAGTTGCAGCCATATATAGGACAATATTATTGGCACCCTTGGAGGAAAATAGCTGGATATCAGGCAGGTGTTATACCAGGTCCTCTATCAAGTGATACAAAAAGGAACCTCTGCATTAGAATCTGCACACTCTATATAATTACAGGCACAAGCTTTATGCAAGACAGAAGGTTTGTCTTGTGTGGCTTAAAGTCTGTAACAATCCAAACATCTGCATGTAATTAAATCCAGGTGTGCAGATGTTCTTTCCGGTAGAAGGTGTCTGCAATATAAAAAACATTTAACCATTTTATATAGGGGAGGGTGAATCTTAATCTGCTGTCTTATATCACTGCTGTGTACCACACTGAACACATGGAGAAGAAAGAAATTCACACAAAGGGTTGATTTTATAGGATGTGAGAAAACCTATGAAAGAGAAACAGTAGGCCTTTATCTCTGCATTTTGTTCATTTCTGTGAGGAAAATTTCATGAACTTATTTAAGATTTAAACTTTGAAGACCTGAACACGAGCTATATTCACACAGCCTTCACTCTGATTAACAGCCTCATCCTGCTTTAGAAAATGACCAAGCTTCAGGGAGAAGAGAACACTTACTTTGTCCAAAAAAAAAAAAAGCCTATTAAGTAGGTATGATTGGTAAAAAATATATATTTTTAAAAATAGATAACCCAGACAGAGAAATGTACAAAAACATCCTCAAAATATCAGGAAATGCAATCTAGGCTCTCTTTTTTTTGCAAAAACTTTCTGAGTTATTGTGTTCACTGTTTGGGTTCATTGTACAGTTTATCAGCTGTTCTGTACTGTTATTGGTATGCATTGAACAATATGACACTATATCTATAAAATATGTCACTTAGTCAATGTTCCCTTAAAGGAAAGGGTTGGGAACCACTGGTATAAGTGGTGGAGAAACAGGTTCACACTGAACTGACCAAGCAAAAACCATTCTAGAAGAGTGTATTCAATTAGAACGTTTGGGTAAAGCACATCATTTCTGTTTAGAAAAAACAGTCACAGTCAAACATACAGAAGGTTCAGCGTTGCCTCTGGTACTGACTTCCTTGAAATGGCATTGTGGCTTTTGGATAGGCATTTTGGAGCACATTTTGGACATTTTTGGGTCTCTGTAGAAGATCCCAGTATTTTTGGTTATGAATGTCCATGTTTTGTTGAGCTTGAATTTGTAAGATGTCATTCCTCCCCAACCCAGTCCTTGGAACCAAACATATATATCTCCCTACAGTGGTGGCTGCACCAACAGCAACAAAGCCCCAGTGCAGCAGCCTGAGACGAGGCTTCCACCGTGCAGCGCAGAGGCTTCAGGATGAATCCAAATCTGACAAACCCCCCTCTTCCTCCTCATCCTCATCCACAACCTACCATGAGCACTACCAGGCTCACTCTGCCCATCAGGACACAGCAACAGCTTCCCAGGAAGACTCAGCGTCTGATCCAGCATCTGAGGAGGCTTCCGGGCCAAACACCAGGTCGGTCAATCCAAAAACACACAGAACAATGAACCGAACTATGGCTGCTGTGGGAGGAGTAACACATTTTCAGTTCGTCAGGGGGCTTGCTAACTGACCTCTTCTCACAAGATGAGTGTGCTTCATTTGTACTGAAACATGACTTTTTGCGTGTGTCTGTGGGAAGTTACCAGGACCAGGGGGGAGAGCAGGGCGAGGAGTACGAAACAGAGGAGCAGCTTCAAGCTCGAATCCTGACCTCTGCTCTGGAGTTCGTCCCACAGCATGGCTGGTCACTGGAAGCCATTGCGGCCGGTGCTGAGGTGAGCCGCTGTTAGAAATGAAAAGTGGAGTAGCTTTGGGGCAAACGCAGGGAATAGTCAGGACACAAAATATGGTATTATTTTATCTTATGGAGTTTATTAGCTCCATCTCACACAGTGTGACGCACATTAAACTTTGACTGTGGAACTTTTGAAAGAAGAAATAACACATTCTTCCTCTTACAGATGAAAAGTGGAATTCATAAGCAACCATAGACACCTTGCTCAATTCAACAGACTCAGGGGTTTTGCTGCTACAACTTTACTTCATCTGGTATGACCAGTAGCTTATGGTTAGCATTAGGCATGCACTGATACCTCTTTTTTTACACCAAATACAGTACGAGCACTTACCTTTGGGTACTTGCCAGTACCGAGTACCAATATGAGTACATAGTGATACCATTACAGTTCTAACAATGATTTCAAAAACATATGTATTTAAGTTTCTTGCCAAAACCTTAATTTTAATACATTCCATTAGAACACATCATAATACTGTTATAATTTACCTTCACCCAATACTCATTTTTACTTAATAGTGTTTGAACATATCAAAATGCAACCCAGTGCAACCTAAGGATAACAAGAAGCCAGCAGCAGCTCAGTGAGACCAGGCTCTCAGGAAATTGTGAGCCTGTCATGATCCTTGCAGCAGGTATTATTGCTGACATGCCCGGGGCTGTGGTCACTACTGCAGGAACATTTCAGAATCAGTATACTTTTCCTGGGTCTCGCTCCTCAGTGGACTTAGGGGACATCTATTTATTACTAACAGTAACAGCAAGAGAGGAGATAATCAGCTGTACTCAGCCCTGCTATATAAAACAATGCTATGGATGTGATTTGATCAAGTTTGTCATTTTCTTAGTGACAGGCAAATATTAATAATGATAATAAAATTCCCAAATTCCCCTTTTGTCCAGGAAGCACCCCCTGGGAGATGTTCGTGCATCCCAAACACATTTTCAGTGGTCTCTGGGACAAAGGGATGCTGCTAGCCTCGAGCCCGAGGTTAACGTCCCGCTGCCGTAAAAGTAGAATCGGTGTCGGTGCATCCCTAGTTAGCATGCTTTAGATACATAATCCTGTACCAACAGATCCATAATATCACTCGTTGATTTTATTCAGCAATATTTACATAGTATGGCATTAAGGATCCTCTCCTGACTACATTAAGACATATATGAATAGTCTGCTTGGAAAGTAAAATTTCCACATTGAAATCCTTAAACAGTAATCTCCTCCTTCTACCTCATTAAAACTTCCAGAATCTCTGAATATACAACAAATGTTGTTGATTTCTAAAGTTTTGCTGCTGGACACAAGATGTCTTCAGTGTAAAGTCCATTCTCAGTGGATGTGCACTGCTGGCTTCAAGTTTCTACATCACACTGTATAAGTTGATACTGGACCAGGACTGACTGCGTCCCCAGAGTCCTGGCAGGGACCTTTTGTTTACAAGTCATCCTCCATCTCTCTCCCCTCCATATCACATGAGCTCTCTATTGTCCAGCCTCTGACAAAGACATAAAAATGCCCAAAAGTAAATTAGAATAGAAACTCAATGTCGAGCACAGGGTTGGGAGTGGAGATATCAGGTTGCCTGTAATGATGACTGTTACTCGGCTAATGCACTGTATGTGTGTAATGTTATTGTTGCTGTGTTGCTACCAGACACTGGGCCTGTCCTCTGCTTCCACTGGTATGTTCAGCAATGGAGCGGGAGACTTGGTCCTACATTTCATCGCCCACTGCAACTCGCAGCTGACAGAGATCCTGGCTGAACAACACAAGCAGGTCCAGCTGGGCCAGGCCGAGTACGTATACGCACACACAGCTTAACCTCAAGACAAACCAAAAGAAGCATTCTCCCTCTTCATTCACAGTCTGCTCTGACCACTGTGTTGCAGACCAAAGAAGACTGCTGACTTTCTAAGAGATGCTGTTGAGACCAGACTGAGGATGCACATCCCCTACATTGAATCATGGCCACAGGTACAGTGTGCGTGATGAGCACAATGAACAGTCAACCTAAGTGTGAACCTATAGTGATGTCACCCATTGCTTTTCATTTCGAAGCCTCAAATCCAGTATTTTGTCTGTTGTTATGTTGGTTTTTAGAAGTTTTTAGAACGCTGCCTAGTTTGACAGTTTGATCTGAGTTTCGTGGGGGGGCTGGATAGACTCACTGCTTCATCGTCTATTTTACTCTATTTTACTACCATAATTTCTGTGTGTGTGTGTGTGTGTGTGTGTGTGTGTGTGTGTGTGTGTGTGTGTGTGTGTGTGTGTGTGTGTGTGTGTGTGTGTGTGTGTGTGTGTGTGTGTGTGTGTGTGTGTTCCAGGCGATGAGCATCCTGCTCCTTCCTCACAACATCCCAGACAGCCTGAAGCACCTGTCCACCCTAGTGGACGACATGTGGTACTACGCCGGAGACCGATCCACAGACGTGAGTGGATCCTATCACCCTCGATCCCCTTCTTCTTCTGCTCATACCTTCCTGTCCCCCTTTCATCACCACCCCCACAATATCAGGCCTGCCACCTCCCAGGTTACTCCCCCCGCCAACACCTGACACTCTCCCTGCTTTACACCATGGCCATAGAAATGACTCACTACTGATTAGCCGGCAGGCGCCTTTAAAAGTGAGTATCTTATCATAGCTCCAGTCAAAGGTTTAATCCTCATCCTAAATCCATACTTGGCTTATATTTGGCTGCAAGTAACCAGAGCAAAACTAGTGATGAATTTAAACTAACTAGGGGTTGAAGCATATTCTCTCAGCAACACATTGGCCAGAAGAAATTTAAAAGATAGACTGATGATTTTCAGTTCTTCTGTCTTTCCTTTGGCCATGGTTTAAGCATGAAAGTACGCCCTGAAATGTCTTCATATTAGGAAAATGGACTTTCAAAGTGTTCTTCATCACAGCCTCATTCATTATTATCTTATATTGGGACACCTCATCATTTATTGTCCCTTACATAATCTAGTCTTGCTTCCGTTTCATCCTGATAGTAATGTTAGAAGTGGTTTTCGGACAGTCAGGGCCTTATTTAAACCGTCTATAGCATGTGGTACATTGCGTACAATGTAGTTTCTTGATTAATCATAGGTGTGTTTTTGGCATAACTTGAATTAAACCCATCAGTGTCATCTCCCATTCCTTTAAAAAATTCTATTTAAATGGAGGATTCGGCAAGTTGGAGAAGTGAACGTTTTCTGCTGAGGAAACAGAGCTGTTGGTGCACTCATCCCTCCAGGCTGTAACAGACATCTTTAATCAGTCATAGGATTTGGAGGCTAAAGCCAGCTGTCCCTGTGTACTCATACCTGGAATTGAACTACAGTCACTTCTATAGAAATGCAGCACAGCAGTGATTTTGACAGCAAGGGGAAGTGCACAGGTCACAGTCTCCAAACCATCTGACAGATTACAGGTGTCTGTTACAGTGTGGTGGCATAAGCAACATTTACAGCGGTACTCGTCTTCGCTGAGGGACAGGTATGGACCTAAACTGACTGCACCACCATCACTTGAGTTTCGTCACACAGAACATCTTTTCCATTGAGAAAAGCCTTCAGTGCTAGCAGCATCTATGCTAACCTCCTTAGCCGCCGCCATTGTTGCTCGCAAGCAAACATTCATTTCTCACACACATGGTCACACACACCTAGAGTTAAACCACGGCCATAGCTCATGTCATTGCTGCCAGTAGTTCCTCATAGGATGCTGATTGTTTCCGTACACACACATGGAGCCTGGCTAGATGGATTCTTGCGTGATTTTGTGATCTCGCAAGTTCAGCTGCCTCACAAGGTTTCGGTGGACCCTCTCTGCCTCTGCTGTCTCCCAACCAATCCTCTGTCCCACCCGCAGCTCCATTTAACTGCATGTCATCAAATGCATTATTATAGATATTTACCTAAGTAGGAGAGGTGCTGCTGCTCATCCCTGGGTGTGTAACCAGCAGAGTTAACGTGCGTTGTGAACCTGCCTATGTAGGTGCATCTTGCTATCTCAATAATACTGCGCCATTGACTTTAGATCAGGTTTTTGTTGATCAGTGGCAAACTTGCAATATATTTAGTTGCATGATTAGATAATATTGCATGACTAGATATCCATGTGTTGTCCTAGCTGTAGTTTGCTGTATGCATTGTGATGTAAGGCACGTTGAGTTTAGAATGGCCTTACCTCTTTAAAATAATCCACAATATGAACTTTCCGTACCAACCCCTTTCTTTTGTAGATGAACTGGTACACCAAACGGGCAGCGCTGACAGGTATTTATAACACAACAGAGCTGGTGATGGTTCAGGATTCCTCTCCAGACTTCCAGGAAACCTGGAACTTCCTTGATAACCGCATTCAGGATGTAGTCAACATGGCCACCACAGCTAAACAGGTAGAGTGCTCCGCATTAAAGAATTGGACAAAGGGTTGAACAGATGAAATGTAGTCAGTGAGGAGTAGTTGTATCTTTTGGTACTTATGTAGGAATACCCACCTCTCTGTGTTTCATGGCTTTACCCATTAGTGGAATAATTACATAACAGACCTCAAATGAGTGTCATGAGAAAATGTTATTCTCCTCCCACCACACAACCCGGGTTGGCCTAAACATGGAGCCCAATGCAAAGCAAAACCTCAAAAGAAAAGATGATGCTTTGATACATAAAACACAAGTTCAGTATAGGTTCAGACTCAGATGTTAACCTTTATTGAAATAACATTTGACCTAATTCCTTGTTCCAATTTGTTCTGTAGGTGCAGTCGACTGGTGAAGCAGTGGTGCAGGGGCTCATGGGAGCTGCTGTTACAGTGAGTCTTTGCCCCATGTTCATCATTCATATGCACTTTTATATATGCATACTCCCTTCCTTTTTGAGTATATGCAGTCCAGTAATCTATGCTTTTAATTGGAAACATTTCCTCATGATGATATTAATAACTGAGTCATGCTTAAAGATTTATGCAGATTTATACATTCAGTGCATTTTAATGAGGTAACACTGCAGAGGCTCTACATATTGCAAAATTTGGATTGTTACATTCAAATGTATTGATAGAAATGTGGCTGATGTTTGTCTTGTGTTTTCCAGCTGAAGAACCTCACAGGAATAAACCAGAGCCGATGATGTAAAACATCTCTCACTCACACTGATCCTGACCGTCTGGCTTGTGTCATGAGCTTAAGATCAATTTTCTTTTTGCTCCTATTTCTGATTAACTGTATGAGTCTGAAAGTGTTGGATTATTGCTTATATTCAGCGAGAGAAAGCTATTATGTGTCCTCTGTGTGTTCACCTGCAGGACCAGTGGCGTTGTCTTGTTTTGTTTCACAGTGCAAGATTTCACTCTCCAGCTCAGATCATTTTTTTCCTTTTTGTAAAAGAGGACACAGAGATCTGTAATGTTGTTGTTGGACTTCAATAAAGTAGTTATTATTGTATATTTAACATTTTTGTTTGTTTTTTAATTATCTCATATCTAAATAATATCTCAGGCAAACACAACTCCAGGAGTAGAGTTTTGCTATTTACAGTCAACATAATGTAAAATATTTGTACTTATTGTTAAAAAAGATACTATTGCAATAACGAATGAACTACATTATCACAGGGAATGTCAACAAATATAAAATTGGTAATCAGACTTATCTATTAATATACAATTAAGTTGTAAATGTTATCCAAAAAATGATGGAGGACTTTTATTTTGAAAAAGTACTTCTAAACATCTATGACCCGGATATTAAATGAAGGCCCGCCCCCGTGCCTCATCGAGGCCAATCGTCAATCAGACTTACATCTCCTGACCAATCAGCGAGTGGTAAATAATTCCGTGGAGGCCTTCAAGCCGAAGTAGCGGTAGTGGAGTGTGTGGACATTGTACAACGTTAATTTAAGCCTTATTTAACTGCAGTAATGCCGTATGCTAACCAGCCGACGGTGAAGATCACAGAGCTGACAGACGAGAATGTCAAGTTTGTCATTGAAAACACTGACTTGGCGTGAGTATCCACTTATTTGTCCATTCAATGAAAGTGTGTGAGGCAGACAGCAGCCATTATTCCTCTCAGCACCAAACGGATGTTATGAGTCTGAACAACGCACTGAAATAATCCTGCTACCGTTAGCTGTAGTGAACTGAGAAAGTTATCTCTGTAATAAAACACAGTGTGTATATTGAAGGTTCATCTAGCTAGCTAACTATAGAGGTGGACACCGGCTCGGTTCATATCAACGTTAGCTAGCATTAATGCTCAGTTGAGTGTAATGTCTGTTTCTCATTATAAACTTTACCTCTAAAAACATCCATCTTTCTCTTTTCAGGGTTGCAAACTCTATCCGCCGTGTGTTCATGTCAGAAGTTGCCACTATAGGTACAGTATTCGTTCAGTCTGAATGTGCATATATTAAGAGGAAATTGCTCATGACAAATAACATTTTGGTCCAGAATAGAATATTAACGTGTGAATTTCTCCATTCACACCATTAAAACACAATATTACATTAAAGATACTACACTGCTTCCATCATTTCAATGGTGAGTTTAAGTTGAAGTTTTAAACAGAATCCAAACAATGCACTGATCCCACAATAGGATTATCTCGCATTCTACTAAATATATTTTGTCTCATATTTTCTTTGTCAAATTATAGAATCCATTTGTATTAAACAGCAAAACAATGTATATGTTGTTTTCTTTGTGAAAGTTAAACTGGTGTCTTTGTCTCCTGACACAAACGTAGTACACCAAACTAGCAAAGTCAGAAGTAGATCTGGTCAATCACGTTGTGTGGAGTTTGGAAACTGAAGTAAGAGGACAATATCTATGATTCGCCTGAAAAGTAGATTGTGGACGCCCTAGAGCACGATCTATATCGATAGCCCACCCCTGGTTCATTACATACCGCTGTGTAAGTGTTTCCTACATGTCTGAATGTCCTGGCTCTGTCCGTCCTCCTCTACAGCTTTCTCAGTCCAATGCAACTGTCCAAAAAGCAATTCATAAACACAAAAATATATATATATCACTTACCTGCATGAATCATTAATCTTGCCTTGTTTTATTTGCAGCGATTGACTGGATCCAGATCGATGCCAATTCGTCAGTGCTGCATGATGAGTTTGTTGCACACAGAGTTGGTATGTATCTCAGTGTTTATGCTTTTAATTAGTGCTGCACATTATGGTAAAAACATCATATTACAATCGTTTTAACAGATATTACGATGCGATTCATGATTGTGGGAATGATCAATTTATTTTTCACTGAAAAAAATATTAAAATCATGATTATGTGAAATGTTTGAGGCGTCCGTACCAAACCAAATCTGGAGAACAGCCAGGGCGTCTCTACAAATACTTCATTATGATGCTGGTTTGATACACATTTTACCTTTATCAATAAACAGCTTCTGCCATTTGTATATCGTGATTTTTGCTAATATTTCGATTCATTGTGCAGCCCTACTTTTAATGAACTTAATGAAAGTAATTTGCTATATTATAGCTGCTGTATGACCACAGCGGTCTGATACTTGTAAAGGCTGCTGTAACTGCATTGATGTTTCCTGTGTCGTCAGGTCTCATACCTCTCACAAGTGATGACATCGTGGACAAAATGCAGTATTCTAGGGTAAGTATACTGTGATATCAGCCCTCGGGGATGTAGCGCTGCCCCAGTGACCCTTAAATGCAACACCATGAATAATAGACAGCTGTTGGTACGGAAATACAAGTTAACTGTCTGTCGGATCCTCCTGCAGGACTGTACCTGTGATGATTTTTGTCCAGAGTGTTCTGTGGAGCTGACACTGGACGTCCGATGTACTGAGGACCAGACGCGTCACGTCACCTCACGCGACCTTCTGTCCAACAACCCCAGAGTCATCCCGGTGAGTCCTTACTCTGTTTAGTAGGAGTCATTAGAGGGGAAGGAGAAAAGCTGACAGTCTTTTCATTGGGCTTTCCAGGTGACTTCCAGGAGTCGAGACAACGATCCCAATGATTACGTGGAACAGGATGGTAAGCTTAAAGCTGTCTTGAGGGGTAAACCATGGTTGTTACGGTCCTTTTAGATATTTACCTTTTCCTTCCTCCCCTGTCAATAACTGACACAACACAGATATTTTACTAGTGAAGCTTCGTAAAGGTCAGGAACTGCGGCTCAGGGCGTACGCCAAGAAAGGTTTTGGTAAGGAGCACGCCAAGTGGAACCCAACGGCGGGCGTGTCCTTCGAGTACGACCCAGACAACGCACTGAGGCACACAGTCTTCCCACGACCTGAGGAGTGGTATGTTTTCATTTCAGTATAGCTCAACCTAAAGGATGGATGTTAAATGTCTAATGTTGAATGACGACTGAGTGATGGATTGATCGCTCTGGTTCCCAGGCCAAAGAGTGAATACTCAGAGATTGAAGAGGATGAGGTTCAGGCTCCCTATGACCCTAATGGAAAGCCAGAAAGGTGAGGAAAGACACATTTTTTTGTCTCTGCTTTGAATTACTTTATAATCTGCTAAATAATGAAGCTGAACGCAAGAATCAGAAGTCTCAGCAGCTCACCTGTGACATTTCCCCACGCAGGTTCTTCTACAACGTGGAGTCCTGCGGCTCTCTGCGACCCGAGACCATCGTTATGTCAGCGTTGGCCGTCCTCAAGAAGAAGCTGAGTGACCTGCAGACTCAGCTTAGCCACGAAATCCAGAGCGATGTGCTCACCATCAACTAAGGGGCGCTCGCTCCCAGAGCAGGGCCTGTGTTTTACACAGCTTTGTAATGACCAGACATGGTGCATGTCCAAATACTGTTCATGGAATTAGATGTATCCTCCCTGGATACTGGCCTTGGATCTGTTTGTGTTATCAGTGATTGTTTACCTTTGAGAAATTTGTAAAAACTATTTTGTTAAATTTGATTTGAAATCATCACTCATTATTACTGAATTGTGAAATAGATTTTCACTTATCTGGACATTCTTGAAATAGTTTCAGCACCAGCAGTGATTGTAACATAAGCTGTGTCTGCTAAAGCATCCAGTGCATCAGTGTCTGACGGGGTTGAATGATACATTTAGTTAAGTTTGTCAGCAGTTTGTCACACACACTGTTATTGAATATTATTTTGTTAAATGTGACTTTTTAAATAAATCTGTTTGATGAACTTGGTGTTGATTTGTGTTTTCTGTTAAACTCCCCTCCACTGAAAACTCAGTTTCTTCCTGTCCCTACAGTGTGCTGTTTGAATACTGTCTGTGCAGAGTTTAACACTAGAAGGATGTTTTCACATTCATCTGCTGAAAGTGGAAAGTTTCTCTGTGCTCACTGAACATCTGATTTTAAGGGGCGGGGCCTACCAGCATGATGTGTGACATAACAAATAGTCTGGAAGTCAGTCCTGGTCCAGTATCAACTTGTACAGTGTGATGTAGAAACTTGAAGCCACCAGTGCACATCCACTGATAGAGGACTTTACAGTGAAGTAGGAGACATCTTGTGTCCAGCAGCAAAACTTTAGAAATCAACAACATTTGCATATTCAGAGATTCTGGAGGTTTTGATAAGGAAATTATAGATTTGCAGGAAAAAAACATACAGGAAATTATCCATCACTATAAACCTATAGATATATTATTAGTGGGAAGATCCAAGGTAATTGCAACTATATACCTAGTTTTTTCAAGTCAGACTGCCTGTCTGCCAGACCAGAAGGAAGGTAGCTTCAAAGTAAAAGCACACGTTACAGCAACCCACAGCTGTGGGTTTAAACAAGATTTTTAGTTGAATTGGAACTTGTCTGCTGAGAAAAACAACTGCAACCTTTTATAAATTATCTTGGGGCCCATGTGGAACAATAAATGACTTATGATTAGATAAAGAGAAAAGATTTAATTAAATATATAGAATTATTAGACATTGAACACACACAGTATCATAAAACATATAAATATGATTAAAATAAGAAGTGCACAAATTAAATAACACAATATAAATAATATGACAGTGACCTCTGATGCATTTATTTAGTTTTTTGCTCTTTCGAGCAGGCTTTTATTTTGAATATTATGAGAAGAGGCGAAATTTGTATTCCAGTGACAATGACCATCATATCACATTCCCAGATGGAATGAGAGGTCAAAATAGCTCTGTGTGCACAAATGTATGCGGACAGCAGGCTACTGAGCTGTGGATGTTGGTGAATGTAGACCTGGCAGGGACGACGCTGTGTTTTGCACGGGGATGACAAGGTAAGAGAAGGTCAGGCCGAGCTTCATTCAGATTTCTGTCTATTTTAAACTTTCATGTAACAGCGAATTTAACCTGAAATATTAAAAGCACACATTGCGGTTCCTGAATTAGCTGGAGTATGTTTTTAATTCGGCATATATAATTCTATCAAGCAGCAATAAAAAAAAACACAACTTTTGTATTTGTGACGTTAGAGGATACCACCCACTGCGGTGTGTATGTGGGAAGAAGGTCGCCGGAATAGCCGACAAACCCAAAGTAAAGGGTGGTTTTTAATTACATTAATAACATATATTTTGATAAGATACATGCCGAATTTACCCAATGGCACTTGACGCTTAGTTGAAGTCTGAAATCGTGTCTTATGAGGTGTGTACCTCTGTAGATAACCAAAACAACGTTAAACTGGTCATTTACTAAAGCGATTTGGTTACAATTTCTCTGTGTGAGGAGACAGGAAGTTGACTACAATATATGAGTGTATGAAGATGCAGCAGTAAGCTATGCATATGAGGGACAAATCCAGGTTAGTGGGGATAGATAGATAGATAGATAGATAGATAGATAGATAGATAGATAGATAGATATTGATGATGATATTTTATTATATAATAAGACCATTTTTGTTCTTCTTTTTCTAGAGTCAGTTAAACCAAACCTCTGACCTTAGCTCCTGTGGAGGAGCCTTCAGACTCAGATATGACTGTGATGAGGAAGAGGTTCTCCTCAGTCTGTTCCTCTTCCTCAGCTGAAGAAGACAGTGCAAGCCTCTATGACAGCGTTCCCATTTCTGCCTCTGACCCACCCAGTGAACAGGAACATCCCTATGCATCTCTGCTCTGGTAAGCTTTCTAGGCTGCCTCCATCACTTGGAGCCTGTCAGCTGGCAGATACAAGGCTTGAGCAGGGGAGGATGTGATTACTTAGTAAAAATAGCAGTATTACACTGTCCAATACTGCATAAAAAGGATGCATATGTAAAAGTGATGTAAGTATTATTAGCTAAAGCAATCAATCAATCGATAGCAATCAATGCCTCTGTGAGTGTACAAGTATAGCATTGAATCTATGACAATGCATCATTTTATAAATTCATCATATGTTTTGTGTAAGAGCGGAATTTATAAAGTAACTAGTCAAATAAATGCAGTAAAATGTAGTGGAGGAAACGTATAAAGTGGCATTAAATGGACATACTTAAGTATAGGTACCTCAAATTCGTACTTAGGTAGTACTAGAAATACTAGAAATCAAAGCCATTCTTCCATAATTAGCAATATTTTTAGTTTTAGTTTCTCCTACATTACTGCACAGCCTGTTCTCATTCCCAGGTTGTCAAATACAGACACGAGTGGTGTTCAGCTAGTTGCAATCTGAAACTTCACCACTAGATGCCACTTAATCCTACACACTGGTCCTTTAAATTGCATGCCTTGTTTTGTTTTTGCTATAGGAAGCCTTTTGAAAAAACCTTGGCTTTTGCTAATTCTGGCGTTTTCCGTCTCTTGCTATCTATACGTCCTGCTAGTTTACAATTCTTGTCTGCTGATGTCGCTCTATATATGTTTTGAAAAACTGTGTGTCCTTCCCCAATCTTTAAACTGTATGCCCTGTGTTGTTTTTGCTTTGTTGTATCTTAGGAAGCCTTTAACTTTATTTATTCAGTCTATTTTATTTATTTATTTATATTTTTTGTTTTCATTTTATTTTTATGGCTTCTATTCTGTTCTTAAACGAAAATGTCTGACTTTTTTTTTTTACCACATGTACCTGCACTGTCCCTTCTCTATATGAACTGAACTAAAATAAGCTCTGTTGCAGCCACTTCAGATACATGCCTGCTGCACTCACACACATTTACCTTGAGTTTATGAGATCCATTACAACATTTTCCACCCCCCTTAAATGTAGGTTCACAATTTATGGTGATTTTAGCATTTTGACTTCCACTTGTGTTTGAAACCGTGGACCACAGCAGGATTGTTACATTCTGTGCAGATTGTGTTTGTCCTTGTATTCTCCGGGGAACTTGTGCAAAGCAGTTATTTTCTCATAGAAGAATCTGGGAGTCGACTACATCTCAGAGATAACAGGAGGAAGACTGGAGGGTTCTATGCAACTTTAAGTATGAGAACATGTTAGCGAGTGCCACCAGTATAGAGACCACACTGATTGGCTGACATCCACCTACAAATGGAATATCTGATCAAAGATTAAAGGTGCAGTCACACCAGAACTGGCAGGGCATTATTCAAGCGCTGGTGAAAAATACACCTCATAACGATGAATAAAACAAGTCTCTCTGTCCAGTTGCCATCGAGTCCAAGACTCTCTGTTGAGCTCCAACAGCAGCTTCACCAGATACAGAGGCATCCTCAACTGGATCATTATTCTCCTGGTCTGTATCGCTTCCTTGATTTTATAGACAGATATTTCTGATTTATGCTTTATAAACTGACTGGTGTTTTACTGTCTCTGTGTGTTTTCAGGTCCTCACTCACGCTCACCTGTTCTTGGAGAATTTTATACAGTAAGTAGAAATAGATGCATTTACACATTTTATAGGAAAAAACTCATTGATTTTTAATGGAGAGCTAGTTCATTTGAAACCCTGACCAAACTGCACACCACATATCCAGTCAACAGTGCATGCCTTCCAAATTAAATCCGTCCATTGGTTTTCACAACCAATACATTTGATCCAATCAGGAAGCAAGAAGTACAGACCACACTAATCAAGCACTGATATCCTTTACTGTTTGTTCAGGTAGCCTAATGAAAGTACGAACTTTGGTGTTTAATTTTATTTTTATTTTTATTTTTTCTTTATTCATTTATTTATACATATGATTGCATTCTCAAATGTATGAAGTAAAGTGTAGTTATATCAGACATTTAACAGGTAAATACGTAAGCCAGCTTTCCTGCTGTTACATTTCTAAGGGTGGCAGCAGAGGGCCATTTTTAAGTGCTTTAATTGCTAGCTACTCAGAATTCCACACTAAGTTTGGTGGGGTTAAAAAATGCAACGAAACACGAACCTGTGTTAGCGGTTCCAAATCCACTTGATACAAGTGCACACACATTGGCCCACTTTAGATTATTATAGTTATAGTCACAGCTTCTAATTGGACTCTAGATTTGTTTCATTTGTGAAATCATAAGTTTGATTAAAATTAAAAAGTGCACCCAACATATTTTAGCCTTTCAGCCGACATTTTTAGTCATGACAGCAGCATGCTTCCTCATAAATTTAATTTTAAGTGAAAGTTTAGTCTTCAGCTTTGAAACTGTAGCTTGAAACAGTAGTTTCAAAGAAAACAAATCTTAGCTCAGCTTTCAACCACATTTCACAGTCTTCATCAGCAGATAGAGCTGAATAGATTTTACAATAAAACTCACTGGGCTAAATCCATCCTCTGATGAAGATATTTAAAAAGGTTCCATGTGTGAGCTTTTTATTTGACTTTGTCCTTTGTTTTCCTCCTCTTAACAGACATGGCTTTTTGATAGATGTCAAAAAGGTCTTGGAGCATCTTATTGAGGACAACTGTAACTGGCCATCTGTCAACCTCATACTGGGTGAGAAACTTTTTCCTACTCCATTAGGAAAAAAGAAAAACTACATTAGATCAACCTTTAGTTAGGTTTAGTGGAGTGCTCCACTGATTTAATATCATACTACTATAACATTATCGGATACACAATGGACAGTTTAAAAAAAGAACCAAAATTGATGCAGCAGAACCAGATATACCGTATAATTTATATGAGAAATATGATCTCTGTTCCTAGTTCTTGTCAGTATTCGTGCCGCAGCATTCTGAATCAATTGGCGTGTCTATATGAATTTATTGGGACAGCCTGATAATAAGGAACTACAGTAATGCAGCCTATAGGTAACAAATTAGTTAAAGGACATATCCTGATCAAACATAACTCCAAGATTCCTTATGGTGGTGCTCGAAGGCACAGTAATGTCATCTAGAATAACAGTATCTTTAGATAATGTCTAAGGTGTATGGGGCCAAGTGCAAGATCTTAAGTTTTGTCTGGGTTAACATCAGAAAATTGCAAGTCATTGATAGATATAACTGGGTATCATCTACGTACGAGTGAAAGTTAATGGAATTATTCCTAATAATGTTGCCCAAAGGAAACCTTTATAAGGTGAATAGAATTGGCCCAAGCACAGAACCTTGTGGAACTCTGTGACTAACTTTTGTGGTAATGGAAGATTGTTAGCATATACAAACTGACCCAAGTTGACCAGACCAATGCTGACTCAGGTGATATCACTTCTGGAGCCACAAAGAGCTTTGACAGAAGAATTGCCCAGGACCTGTAAGCAAGCTTTGATGTGAGGGATTGGTTTGTAAACACAACACACTTATCCTGTCACTGTGAATTAACAAAATATCTATATTTCTTTCAGCTGCCAACATGTTTGCCATTACAGCTTTGCTCCTTGAGAGGTCTCAGGAAAAGGTGAGACAGGTGCCTTTTCTTTTTCTGCATCATCCAAATGCATCAAGACACCATGCCACAATTTAAATGCACACCATTCACACCACCCCATCAGCATATCAATTGCACTAGTATCCCATCAAGCAGTTAGTGAACTTAAAATAATTCTCACTGAAACTCTTCTATTCCATTTATTTCTGTCAGGGTATGCTGTCCCCCACCAACACTCATCGTTTACATCTCACAAATCTGGGGTTGCTCCTGCTATTTCCTGCTGCAGTCATTGTACATGAGCCCACAATATCTACAGGTAACAACTACAGATACATGTGCATCATCATTGCATCATAGTTACTGTACATAAATGATGCAGTGAAAAATGTATGAGTTAAACATCCCATAAGTTACACTTTTCTGGGGTTTTATGGGTATTTGAAATGTTGATGTCCATGTTGATGTGGGGGGTTTCTTTGGGTACAGTTTTACATCTCATCTCTCACGCTGCTCTCTGGAGCTCTAGCAGGAGGCATTTTAGTGTGGCATTTTGTCTCAGTAATATTATTGAGCATCTCTTTTTTTTGGCTGACTGATTTCTAAGTGAAGCACGGCCAGGCCAACCACAGACAGCAGACTGTAGCCCACCCGGACTGTGCAGGGAGCATGGTGAAGGACGACTGTACAGTTGTGACATCACAAACTTACAGAAGTCTTGATGGCTCACTTAAAGAGAAGCGTCCGTCTTCTGTCTTTCAGAGGCTACAAACTACACCCCCACAAACCACGCCCACTATCATAATTTGTCCAAACCACGCCTCTTCTAAAACCCGCACACTTGTACATGAAGTTACGGTGTCTATGGAAGATCATAGCAAATCAAAAATTACATTGAAGGTAATGATATTAGCTAATAAACAAAGAAATAAAAATAACCTAGTATAAGAGTGTGAGCCACAACAAATATATGACTTTCAGATAATGAAAATAATATGCAAATAATGTGGGCCATCAATGAATGAATGCAGACAAATATAAACAAAATAATTTGATAAAAAATAAATATAGGAATTTTAGCAAATATTAAGCAGAAATAATGAGGATAAACTATTAATTGTGTTATATGGATAATTGAATAGCTTTTGCAAACTTTACATCTTTGGGCCAAACCCAATGGCCTGACCATTATGTTATGTCAATATGTTGTGAGCGCAGTCTCTTCTGTGACCTAAGCAGCCCACAGTAAACATTTGGAATTTCAACTTCCTTTGTCTGTCTTCTTTACTTGTTTCACAGTTTCTGAACACAAGCATTTCTCAAAGGATTGAGAGTTTTGATACTTATACAGTATTTATATAGCACCTAAACCTGCTTTATATATAAAAATGGAAATCTCACTTTCTACAGTATGGAACCTTTAAGAAAGATATTGTCGTTTCGAGCCTACAGGCACAGCTGTGCCAAAGCCTCAACATGAACCAAATGTAGTTTGAATCTCAAAATTATTTTATAATGTTTAGCTCACTGTACTCAGAAATGATGTTGTATCATTGCTGGGATGTTTCTGTGTTTCCGTCCACCAGGTGGTGCGTTCTTCTCTCTCTGGTTCTACACTGCTCTGGGGATGAAGCTTTATTCATACCAGGAAACGAATCGCTGGTACCGACAGGCTGATGCAGGTATTGTTTCCATTACCAGAAATTGTACTGATTTTCATTTCAGAACAAAAACAGAAACTAATCCATCGACTGCTTTTTATATCTTTGTGTTTTCAGAGACAGACAAGAATGTTTCTGTTGCGCAAAAAGCACCCGGTCAGCATCTCACTTTACAAGGTGAAACTGCTTGTTATTTATAAGGTGATACTTAATTACTTCACATTAACTTAAGACGATCCATTTTGTCCTTTGTGACTCTGTCTTTGATTTCTCAGATCTGTATTATTTCCTCCTTGCCCCCACTCTGTGCTACCAGAGAGACTTCCCATGTACTCCTAAGGTCCGCATCAATAAGCTCCTGCACAGGCTGCTGGAGATGGTGAGCTTAACAGTGGCACCATCATCACTCAGGGTTTGATGCACTTGTAGAGAGTGCCAAAATGTAAAAAAAATCCCATATTATATTATATAATAATTATCCTTTGGCCTAAGAGTACATAAGTTTATTAATCTACATGTATGTGTAAATCATCCATAATTCATATGTATTATGTAAGAAGCTCTATTTATTCAGCATGGACACCACACAAAGCAGTTTCAACATTACCTTCCTTTTATTGATGCAGTGGATCTACTTGCAATGAACCTTTCCTGATATAGTTGATGTTGATGATGATATACTGTAGGTCTTATGGTCAGTTAAGCTTGTTAATCGTGGCATTTTCTACCTTTAGGTGATCGTTATCCAGATCATGGTTGGAATTGTGCAGCAGGTACAACAGCTGGTTGAAGTTCTTCCTGTACTGTACAGAATGCTACTCACACATATCAATAACTATCATATGATCAATTTTATCAGTGTAATATATCATTGTGTAGTACACAACAATGTGGTGCAGGGGTGCCCAAACTTTTTTCCCTTGAAGGGCCAAAATTGAATTTAATGGTGGGCCACAGACCAAAAGTAAACAGCTATTGTGCTGTATCGTTAAGATGCAAAAAGGTACCAGGATGACTGACTTCTGAGCAGTGTCATATTTAGGGATCCTATATATTTAAAGAACAGTTTTACCTGACAAAAAACAAAACCGCAGAAATAGAGATGTATCATTTTCGATATACTGTATTTATAATACTTCTTGCTACAATTGTCTCATGGGTCAATTCAAACCTCATAGTGGGCCATCTTTTGCCTGCGGACCCCGCTCTGGGCAGCCCTGATGTAGTGTTTTGCATGTTCTGAATACATACGTACATATGACTAATAATCAGTATTCATGGTTTCACATTACTTTGAAACCAACCGCCTCCCCACTTTTACACTGGGAGAAGCACTGTTCGACAACCTCCTCAAACTGTCCCGTTTAATCGTTTGCAATGTTTTTAACAAGGATTTTAGAAAAATTAACCCTTTCTAGTCTGACACATAAAAAAATTGCCTAAAAGTAATTTTTTTTCTCCTCTCAGTGGATTGAACCCATCTTCCAGAGATCAGAAAACTCCTTCTCTGTGAGTGAAACACAATCACTGTGAATATTACAACAAACAAAACTTCCACACCTAAGGACTTCACTTCTTTTTTTTTCATTCTTTTACATAAGAGTATGGACATCACTATGAGAGTGGAGCACCTGGTGGGACTGGTGGTGAGTGATTTTTGAATGATATTTTGACATTACATTCTTTTGACTTTAGATCAGGCATGGGACAGTATGAAAATTTCATCTAATGATAATCTTGCAATACACGATGATATAACGATGAAAAATGTGCTTTACTCTTTTAAAATGGAACTAAAACATACTACATACTTACATTTAGTTAAGAAACATACTTTATATTTATTGCATCACAGATAGACACCTCATCTCCCTGTTCAGTATTATAGAATCTATACTATTTCCACACATCCAGTTTAATTTGTGTGGATACAATGGGCAAGCTCAGCCTCCAGCCATGGTAATTAGATGTGGGCTCCCCCTTGTCCCCTTGATCTAAATAAATCAGAGTATCAATATAGGACTGTATGCGGGAGAGCTAGACAGCTTTTTCAGGTCAAGCCATGTGAGGATATTGATGATTATCCCTATTCATGATTAGCACGATAATGGAAATTCACCACAATACATTTTGTATTGCGATAATATCGTATATCGTCCTATCTTTACTTTAGATACGTCACTGAACCAGTCTAAGACATCAGTGTACCATCTTGTAAACAGATGGTAATTAGAGATTTGCATACTGTGATACCAGATACAATAATAGAGATAGCAGATATTGCTCTTATTAAAACGGTATATTGGTATTGCTAATGCATATTTCCACGTCAGGCTCCAACCCATTTCCTCTGGCTCCTCGTCTTCTTCTTGAGTCATTCCTACCTGAATTTCTGTGCAGAACTGCTGCGCTTCGGTGATCGCCATTTTTATGGAGACTGGTGGTCAGTTGCACAAAACCATTCCCGCACATTGTGTTGTTGAGCATTCATGCAGGGGCTCATTGAGCTTCACCATTTCATTTACAGGAACGCCACAACTCTGATCACTTTCTGGAAGCACTGGAACATTCCCTGTCAGAAGTGGTGTCACAGGTATTTTAGTCTGATGGAGCTAAAGCAACAGCCTCATGTTTCACTCAGATGACGCAAATTCCAATAATTCTCCCTGCCTTTTGCTTTCATCTCCCCTTGTCTTCACTTGTATGAAGACATGTGTACACACGGCTGGTGGAAAAGAATGTGCCCCCGTCACGAGCAGAGTTACTGGTCTTCCTGATGTCAGCTGCTCTTTGTGAGGTACAGTCTGATACTGCATGAAGCCAATTTTACTCTCTTTTATATTTATTTGTTTGCTAGCGGAGAACACAAGACACTGGAAATCTGGAATGAATTTAGTTTTTAAAATGAGCACCAATACCAAATCTGTATCAAACTAGCAAGAAGCAAAGTTGGTTATTTTAATAAAAACTATAACTCTATTAGTACCCACACTTATTACATAATGGGGTAGGTTTGCAGATCTTTAAAAGGACACAGGTGATCATGGGCCTCTAGTGGAAAGTAAGAACTTTTCTCCTACAAACAATGCAGTAATAACCTGTTTGTCCTCTCTCCTACACAGTGTATGATTGCTCTGCCCCTGCATAGCTGTCGTCTGTGGATCTTCCTCATGATGATATTTGAGGTGAGAATATCACAGCGGTGGATAGGGCAACAGGCACTGAGGGCTTCTGCTTACACACACTCAACGTTGCCTGCCTCACTCGGTGCACTAAGCTTTGACTCCAACTTTGTAACATTTACTCAGCAGTTAAATCAGAGAAGCTATCACACTCTGTATTTAACTGTCTATTTTCTCAAATGTATTACTCATTACTCGTTACTCTTTCCAAAATTACTGTACTGGCCTCCACACTTAGCATGCACTATAGGCTGGGCAAGAGTAGATGTTTTATTAAATCTTGGTGTGTTTCTTCAACTAACACTGTCTTGTCCTTATAGCTTATGGTTGCAGTGTTCCTCGGAAACTATTTCCAGGGAAACTATGGCAACGGTTTAGTGTGGCTGTGCCTGCTGCTGGGCCCTCCTCTGGCTGTGACCACTTACTTTCACGACCACTACATCAGCTTCCATCGCCATCATCATCAGTCATCATCCTCACCGCTGACATCAGACCACCGTCTTCCCGGAGCAGTTTTCCTGCAGGCTCACTGATTCTGTCCTGCTGTACTGTGTGCGGCTGTGATCCAAAGCTCAGTGAAGTCGGCTCCATTCTGACGTCTGGAAAACATTTTGGAGTAATAATCCACGACCTCTGCCCAGTTCAGTAATATATATATGGTGTGTAGACTCATTAATGGACCGATTCCATACTGGAAAAGACTGACTCACAAATGATGCTACTATACTTCCACATCTGACTAATATTTATGCAATAAATAACTAACTTTTTACATCTGATGCTTGTTGAATGTGACCGAGAAATGAACTGCAACATGGTGAGTGTGCAACAATCTCCGCCACTGATCATTCCTGTTAGAATGACGTGGGTCAGCAGCACCGAAGATAAGGTTGCCGCTTACACACTGCTCATTCATCATGCGGTTAAGGGGCCCTAGTTAATTTAAGTTTACTGTAAGTTTCGGGCGACACGGTCCAATCAGGAAATAGAGGGAATGATTGTGCTGTACTTCATGGTTCAATGAGTGTGGAATGAGTCAAGTAAACTTTGCAACGGCCTTAATGACAGTTAGAAATGTTCTGTATTGTTCTCATAACTCTGGTATATTTTTATTTTTTTTATTTTAAAGCATATAGTGAATTATACAGGCATGCCACTGAAAGATGTGTACTATCCAACAGAGGTGTGAACTCACAAATTTTAGACTTGACTTCATTTTGTTTTGTTTGTTCTGTTGTTAAAATGGCAGTATGTTTGGTGAAGAGTGCATTATGACTTGTTTAGGACTTTAAACTCAATGTTAAGTCTTTTCTCTGGACTTAAGTGCAAAGACTTGAGACTTACTTGGGACTTCCAAAACAATGACTTGGTGCCATCTCTGCTACCCAATGTTGGAACAGATTCTCTTCGATTGTGCATCTTTAGTATAATTACAGAGCCCATTAGACCTTTGATGCAAAGAAATTTGCCTCATCTTGATGTCTGTGATGGTAAAAGTGATGATCAACACATGGTGCATAGTCTGTCAGTGCTCTTTTTTTCCCTGTGACAACTAAACAAAAGGACCCCAGATTGTTCATAAGGCCAAAGCAGGATTAAGCCTCTAGGGCAGGGGCACCCAAACTTTTTTCCTTGTAGAACTGAAATTAAATGGAGGGCACCTATTACACCTATTGTATTGTTAAGATGCAAATGGTACTAGGATCCCAAGTTCCATTATTGACTGCTGCCCATATTATGAAAACAAAATAATAATTAGGGATACTACATAATAAACCTGATCATAGATCCCATAAATGATCACTCTTCTCTTTATGTCAATTTTGGCCTTACAGCGGTCAAGCAGCCGGCTCAGTTTGATGTGGAGTTTCAGTCGGGTGTTTGTGTGATGTCAACACACGACTCTGTGCTCAGGGACACCACAAATGGAGGAAGAGTGACCACTGCTGGGTTTGAGAACTTAAAAGAAACCTTGACGGAGGACACATGAAAGTAGAAGAATCACCTCTCTAGAGCAAATGTTTCTAGTCCATGCATTGTGCATTATGTGTTTTATGTATTGAGAATGTATTTTTGTTTCTTGTCTTAATCATTTGAACCACAGCTTATAAACCAAATCCCCCCTCTTGGACATTAAATGGCAAAAAATAAAAAAAGAACTGTAGCCTACACAACCCAGTGACTTTCTTTCTCTCTCTCTCTTTGTTGCATTTACATGCTGTAATACAGGTAGCATAGCTCCAAACATAAGATAGATACTTCAGATAAGCTAACACTACAGCATAAACCCATATGGAACTGGTTATGGATGCATGAATCTGGATATTGTGGTCAAAATGGTCCGTGCCATGAGAGCGGACCAGCAGCAGTACCAAAGCACTAGCTCAGTTATTACTGCTAGGTCCAGTGTGTAGGATTTAGTGGCATTTAGCGGGGTAGCTGCAGATTACAATCCCCTTGACTCACCCTCCCAGAACTCAGATCAAGCTGTCAAACTAGGCAGTGCTGATCAAATATCCAGCGCTGGTGACGTCATTCAGTGCCAGAGTACAGGGGCATGTCCAGACTTTTTGTTGCAGGGGTGGCCAAGTGGGTCAATGACAATGCAGGGGTGGCAAAAAGTGTGTGTCTCAGGTTTGCAGTTATTCCCAGTGTATGCACTTCCAACACTGTTTAATGACCCCAGTCTGCACAAATATTTAAATACACTAGGCAAAAATAACATTTATACCACATGCAAAAAAGATTTTTTGCCCTAAACTGCATGCCATTTGCAAAAAGTGGGCATGTCTACAAAGGGAAGACTTGTGGGTGCCCATAGAACCCACTTTTTATGTCAGAGGTCAAAGGATCCCTTTGAAAATGGCCATGCCAGTTTCTCCATTGCAAAATGTTTTGTCTGACTTTGGAGCGTTGTTTAGATCCCTTCCCAACATGCTAGCTTCACTCTAGCTTTAACCAGAAACAGAACCTACTACAGCCTCTGAAAGACAAAGAGTCAAAGAGCTGAGAATAATGGGTGGCACTTGGGGTGGTCAGATTTCAGGGGTGGGCAGTGCTACCCCAGGCCCAAAATGTTACTCCACAAACCAACGGGTGACATCATGATAGGTTCAGAACCAAACAACGCACAGACGTGGCGAACATAGTGGGGCATTTAGTAGCTATAGAGAGCCAGATATTTGTCTCAGAAGATGGAACTAAATATTGGACTTACATTCACCAGGTGGACACAAAAACAACTCCAAATGAATGACAATGTATAGGCAACATGTTGGTCATAATAACTTTATAAGGTGATTATAGTAGATCAATGCTGCACTTTCAGCCTGTTCTGCTGCCCTCAAGTGGCCAGAAATGACGTAGAAAATAAATTAGTGCAGCTTTAAAGTCCAAATTGTGATGAAGACTGAGCTCACACATGGGTTGAATTAATCATTACATTTAATTCATTTGAACTTCGGAGCTCACTTATATACATTTGCTATAGTGTCTTGGAATCTTTGGAATGATATTTTAGTTTACTGTTTTAAGACATATTTTTATTCTGTGTTTCATTCCTAGCTTTATATTTGCTGAATAATACTGGAATTACGTTTGCTGTATATTCTATTTGATCTGCATGGAAAGTGAAGTGGAACTTTAATTTGAAATAGATGGCTGATGTTTACCATTATTTATGACCCACAATCCTTTGTGCAATAAGAAACAACCTCCCTGGATCACGTGGTATTATCACTGAGGCGGAAATGAAAGTTCACTAGCGACAGCAGCGGAGCACAGCTGAAAAAGGTACGGGAAGACTACATTTACGGCTCATTTCTTAGTGTTTCAGTAGATGTAGCGTGTTCTGACGTTGACCACGTAACTAACGATGCTGATTTACTTGTTGTCAGGTGAGCAGAACAGATTTTATCGGCATGTCCTTTTATTAAATCCCCATACGAAGCTCGCTCGCTAACAGTTAGCTTCTTATAGGTCAAGCTAGCCAGTATTGGCTATATCGGACCGGACGTGTCGCGACTAGCCCTTCAAAACAAACGTCAAAGAACAGACACGATGCTGGAAAAACAAGTCTTGTTGTTGTATATAACATTGTGGAGAGATGCACAATGCTAGTTTCTTCCTGTAAAAAATTCCCTCAAAAGGTAGTTTGTGTATTCTGCTTATGTGCGTTGCATTATCATAACACTTTGAGCTTTAGTTTGAAAAAGCTGACCGGAAGTGAATGTTTTTCTAGCCTCGCTTGACAGTGATGCATAGAAATGCCTTGATCATCTTCCGTGTTTGTGTTTGGTGCGCAGCAGCCAAGGGTATTTAAATACGGCGACAATGAAATCTGTTTAGTAGGGACAGTTAAATCTCCATTAGTCTACATTACGTTTAGCCGCTATCCGCTGAGTAGCTGATCTAACTAACTCTGTGTAGCACGGCCAGCTTGTTTTCACAAGGTTGGCGGAAGATGCTGTGCGCTTTTGTTGTTATTGCCTCGATCCGTTTGTCTGCAGCCCGGAGCCAGACCTCAGGTGGTCATTAGGTTAATAATACAACACTTAATAGATCGCTTTTGTAATGGCCAGGTCACATCTGGCCATGTATCAGTGGGTTTTTGTCTGGTCTCAGGCTGCCAACAGCAGTCACCTTGGTGCTCCAGCAAGTAACGTTACACTGATAAGAGGATGAGGATCCCCTTCACAGACCTGTTTTAGGGTTGGGATCTCTTCTTGATATACAAAGTGCAGATCAATATAAGGGTAGCTGGAGTTCACTATTACTGCGCATTGTCCTTGCACATGCAGTTGCCTTTGCATTCAGTCCAGCAGGCTACATCTCTGACTTTGCTCAAGGTGATGTTGACAGGGTCTGATGAAAGTCTTGGCACTCACTGTGTCTGATGGGGGGGGGCACATATCTGCCTGTATTGAAATGTATTTCCACATGTATGCCACGCTGCTAAGTATACCTGAAATATACGTTAGGTGTTTTTTGTATGGGTTGTTCTAATGTTGCAATGGAATGACAATATGTTGTAATACTGTGTGTTTCAGAGCTGTGAGGTCATGGCAGCTGCCAGTGTGAGCAGACCTGGCGGTGCCCAGACCACTGAGAAGTCTCAGTTGATCTTGAAAGGTAATTATCTGGGTTTTTGTCATCTCACTGACCAACACAAGCAGAAACATGTGTGTTCTTTATGTCAGAAATTCTCCCCAACTGAGTAACTGTTTCTAACGCCTGCACATTAGGCAGCATGATGTCCTCTGGATTTCATAACAGGAAAATATCCTCTCTGTAGGAACTTAGGGATCCTCTTTTTTCTCAAGCTTCCTTTTTGAAAATAATGGGTCAACATGACTTGTCAATCGTTATCGATGGTCAGAAGGCCATTTCTGTAACTTCTCTCCCATTGTTCATTCAGCGAACCTGCTGATCAGACCTCGCTCAGATGGGGTTTGCAGCAATTTCGTACCATTTCTCTGATAAATCAGGGAGTGTCAGATAAATGTCTATTTTCTGTAATTTGACTGTCGATTGTTTTTGTGTGACTTGTGGCAATCGCTGTGTTGTGTTGTGCAAACACCCCCAAATCTGGACTGTAACACAGTACAGTAGATCTTTGGCCGATTCTTCTTTCACAGTGGAAGCCTTGATGACATAACCTGGTTTGTTATGCATAAGCATCTGGTGCTTAAGTCGTCTTTGGAAATAGTTTGGAAGGGCAGGCGCTTTTAAAAAATACTAAGCAGGTGATTGGCTGAACCATCTGTCTTATCACCGTCTATCGTGGGCAGACTTCCACCAATCAGATCAACAAACAATATAACGTAGTCAAATTCTTACTGAAGAGAGAAAACATCTTTTCCATGGAGAATGGCTTTTAGTGCCGTGCTCTTCTTTCAAAGAAGAAATAATCTCCAGGTCTGATAGAACTGATGCTAGCAGCATCTACGCTAACTTCTTTAGCAGCCGCTGTTGTTGTTGTTGTTGTTGAGCAGACAACATTTTTCATTTTTCACACACACATAGCGTTAAACCACGCCTGTAGCTCATGCTGTAGCTGCCAGCGGTTCCTCAAAGGACGCCGATTGGTCCGAACCACTGTGGGTTGGACACATAGCTTGAAGCCTGACAAAATGGATTCTGATGTGAGTCCAGCTGCCTCGCAAGCTCATTGCTAACTGAGTTTCACTGCTCAGATCAGATTTCTTTTATTTTTTCTTGGACTGTTCAGTTTTATTAGTGTTTTCATTAACTAATACCAGCCCAAACAAGTCTCCATTTTGAACCGAACTGTGTGCCGTGTGCCATTGGCACAGATGTGACCTCCATCTCACAGTGGATTCACAGTGACTAAAGTTATCACATATGATGGGATACTGCGGCTTAAATAACTCACATAAAATATACAATATGAACCTGCTCATTGTGTTGTCATATGATCCCGTCAGGGCCACTTGTTTATATTTTAAAGACTCTTTACATTACAGCGGCCTTGCAGCTTCATTCTTCTGTGGCCTTCTGTAACCTTCTTTCTTCTAATGCTTTCTTTTATGTCACTTCTAGTTTTTCTTGTATTGAAACATCATTCTAAATAAATTATGCAGCCTAATACCTCTCTGTCTGTCTAGCAGCTGAGCACCTCCATCGCAGCTGTCGCCTGCACAGATGACTGACAAATGTTGTATTGGATTAATGGAAAATTCACAGTATTTCTGATGAATTTTAGCAGTAAAGGTAAAATGTCAGATCTTTTTTCTGACACATCAGGGTCACTTACAGTGTGAGGGAGAATAACATAGATTTGACCCTAACCCTAACCCTAACCCTGATAATAGGATAATGCACTTAAAAAGTACTGCGTCAGTGTGCATGTCTTTGTAGGAGAGCACACAATGTAGATTTGCATTTTAACCTAAATGTTCTGTGCAGATGTTCTAGTCGGTGGTTAAACTGATACCAGGGTTGTCTCATTGAAGTGAACAGTAAGTCAAAAACTAGCAAGTCAACAACTTTGTTAACACAGCCAAACATGAAACTAGTGCATAAAGTCCATATGATCCAAACATCCACTGCAAGTTGATATACGGCAAACTTGTTAGAGCAGTTGCTTCTTTACACATCCTGCAGTTACAGAGCAGCACTGTCATTCACGTGGAGTCCTGTTTATGGCCTCCTG